TGTTTTTAGAATGTCTTCTAATTGTATCAGTTGTGAGCAATGCCTGTTTTTATTTCTCCATTTCTAATTATCTTTTTACTTTTCTTGCCATATTGCATTATATAGTGTTTCCAGGTATAGTGTTAAATTTAAGCAGTCATAGTGAGTATCCTTGTTTTGTTCTTGACTTTAAGGAAATAGTTTCACATACTTCATCATTAACTGTGATGTAGGATTTGGTTAGGAACCTTTTATCAAATTAAAGAAATACCTTCCATTTATAGTTTGGTAAGAGGTTTTGCCTAGAATCAATGTTGTGTTTTTCAAATACATTTTCTGAATCTATTGAGATTTGTTTTTTCCTATATTCATTTATGTGTAAATTATACTAATAGGTTTTCTGATGTTGTACCAGGAAGCAAAACCATTAGACAAAAATCAATTGGCTAAAAGTTGTTTTGGTTTTTTTTAATGTTGTATTTGAATCAGAAACAACCTAAGTTACTTCTTTATTCCACTACCAGGGAGAAAAGCAAACTGAACCTGTTTTCTCTTTGCTCATAGATCTCCATGAGTTAGTTAGACAAAGGAGAAAAAGGAAAAAATTGGTGATACCATTTATAACTTATTTCATTAACACTATTGCCTATAAAAAGCAGTTCCTTTATGGTGCTATGTAATTCTCTCAAACAATATTAGCTTTTGGTATTAACTCAACCTAGAGGTTATAGGTTATATTAAAGATAATTAAAAGTAGTTCAGCAAAACTATAGTGAGAGAATCCTATCACTTTTTTAAAAAAATGCAAGAGAAAACCCAACAAAAGAAAATTACTGCTATGATGGATTATAGACCAATTTAATAATTTAATTTACTTGGGACCCTTGCTTTATCTTACATTAGCTAGCTAACTAATTTTCTTTGGTCACAACCAGATTATACATTCAGTCTACATTCTTATCAATTCAAAGTATGGCCTTTTCGAGCACATCATTTTAGAGCATATAACAAAAAAAAATTCTTTTATCCTCTCTGATGATCCCTTTTTCTGTGTGTAGCATGGAATGCCATGGTGGTTAAGAGTATTCTTTCTGGATCTCACTGTCCGGGATTCAGTTCTGGTACAGCTCTTAGAGCTTTGGGACCATGTGCAAATTTCATAATCTCTGTGTCTCATTTTCTCCATTTGTAAGATAAGAATACACTTCCTACCTCATAACATTGTTGGGAAGATTAAAGGAATTAAATGTAAAGTTCTTGCAGAGTGCCTGACACTACATAAACACAATATCGTAATAACTGTGTAAATTATAATTATTTTCAAATAAGACTAGGGAATAGGAGAATATATATGATATTTTGGTCCATGGTTCTTTCTGCAAAAGACAGACTTATTCCCCAAAGCCAATTCGCTGTAATTCAGTTTGCCATGACCAAAGTGCCAAGTTTAACAAATGTACTAATTTACTAAATCTTTTGTTTTGTTTTATGAAGTTTATAGCAATTCATATTGCTTTTGAAGTTTTGTGAGGTTAAGTTGACTGGTCATTTTGTCTTCATAACAGATTTTAAAGTATTAGAATTGCTGAAACCTGAGGTCATGAGTCTTTTTAGTAATATATTTAATATTCACAAACACATATTTTAAAATCAGTAAACCAAAACCCCCAAGGACTCTGTACCTCAGTGAAAGGAGTGCTAGAAAAGTATCATTCACTTGCTCAAGAGGTCAATAAAGAAGATTGTCTCTGCAAGGAGCTTGAGCCAATGCATTGAGAGTGTTAAAAGTCAAATTTATTAGCTTCTTTATATAGTTATATTTGAGCTGAGAAATCAACATAAAAGTTGATCTAAAGATGGTACTATTTCTTGGGACCTGCCCCAACCCATTCTGCGTAGAATTCTCATATATATAGCTCCAATGAAGATGGTCTTCCAAAATTTTAAAACAACAACAAATGAAATTCACTGTGAGACTCAGCAGGTATAGCAAGACTCCCAAGAACTTCAGAATATTGTATAATCTGATGGGGAGCCTAAAACTAATATGTCAAAGTGATTAAAGACATATATGGAGATATCAAACCTAGAAAAGAAGAAAATGCTATTTTTTTAAGATTTATTTATTAAATTTATTTTTAAGTAATTTCTGTGCCCAATGTGAGGCTCAAACTCACAACCCCGAGACAAGAGTTGCATGCTCTACTGAGTGAACCAGCCAGATGACCCCAAGATGCTATTTTTTTTTTTTTGAGATTTTTTATTTATTTACTTGACAGAAAGAGAGCAGGAGCAAGCACAAGCCGGGGGAGCAGCAGAGGGAGAAGGAGAAGCAGGCTCCCCACTGAGCAGGGAGCCCGACGTAGGACTCAATCCCAGGACCCTGAGATCATGACCTGAGCCAAAGGCAGACACTTAACCGACTGAGCCACCCAGGCGCCCAAGATGCTATTTTTTAAAAAAGAGAACCTCTAGGGATGCCAAGGCAGCTCAGTCAGTTAAGCGTCTGACTCTTGGTTTTAGCTTAGGTCATGATCTCAGGATTGTGAGATTGAGCCCCATGTCAGAGCTCAGCACAATCTGCTTAAGAGTCTCTCCCTCTCCCTCTCCCTTTACCTTTCCCCATCCCCACTCACTTGCTCTCTCTCTCAAAAAAAAAAAAACCTGTTAAAAAGAGAACTTCTAGAAATGAAAAACAGACACTGCAAAGAAAATTTCAGCAGAGGAGTTAAATAGCAGATTAGACACCACTGAAGAAAGAACTAGCAAACCATAAGGTAGAGCTGAGGAAAGTATCCAGAATTCACAGAGCTCAAAAAGCAAAATATGAAAGGATAATTTAGTCACAGAAATGGAGAGTAAAATGAAACATTACAACATACATTTCATAGGCATTTCACTAGTAGAAATTAGAAAGAATGGGAAAGAGACAATATTCAAAATCATAATAGCTGACAGGTTTTTTACAGTTGTGAAAGACAAGTCCTTGTACGTTAGAAGCGTAAATCAAAAAGAAGGTTATACCTATGTAAATTTTAATGAAAGATCAGAACACTAATGGCAAAGAAAAGAATTTAATTGCAACCTGTAATGGAACACCAGTTAAACTGGCAGCAGATTTCTTAATCAGCAATAATAGATGCCAGAAGACAACTTGAATATTTATGTCCTTAGTGTTCTGAGGTAATTTGCTACCCTGTAATTCTACTTCCATCACTGTTGAGGAGTAAAGTTAAAATTAAGAAATTTCCAGACCAGTAATGACTAAGAGTTTACTTTCTGAACACCATCACCCAAGGCATACTAAAGACTGTATTTCAGGAAGAAGGGAATTGAACCCGAAAGGAAGAGATGAGCAAAAAAAAAAGGATTGGTGACCAAAGATCAGTTAAAATGTTGGTAAATAATCATTAACTGTGAAAAATAGTGTAAAATCATTGACTCAACAGTACTATTGTTAAGACATATCTTTCTTTTATTTATACAGCATCAGGGAAGAACAAAATGAGAATGAAAACATGACACGGTGCTTTAATGATGACACTGATCATTACGTTAATCTGTTAAACTAAATTCCCTTTCCTTTGAAATTTCTTTTATCTAGTCAAAGGAATTTGGCAGATGCCTTCACGTGAATTGCTTTGAATGTGATAGGGAATCCTTTTGTACATATCTTAGTTACAGGACCTAGCAAAGCTTCATTAACTTGTGGATACTTCCATAGTAGAAAAAATTCAATAACTAAAATTCAGTAAATCAAGAAATAACAGTATAACCACATTACTGAGAAGTACAGAGGTAACTAGAAGAAATAACAAGAAGAGTCAAAAGTAGTTACCTTTCAGAAGGGGACTATGAGATTTTTTATAGCTTATAAAACTGTTTGATTCATTGTAAACTGTGTATGTGTGAAACTTCACTTAAAATACCGCATGAGACAATGATTCACCAAAGGAAAAATTGTACAGCTATATTATTTAGAAATAAATGTAGAAATAGATTTTAAGCAAAGAGGAGCATTACATAGTGATAAAAGAAACCATTCACTAGTAATAATACTGAATCCTATTTACTTAGCAGTGAAGCTTCAAAATATGTAAAGCAACATTTGACAAAATTAGAAATTGACAAGTTTTTCTCTCCTAAGACTCAAGTAAGTATAAGAGTATGGGAGATTTAAATAAGATAATAAAGTTAATCTATTCTGTATACACAATCAGATTATGTCTTTTTGATTTTCATTGATAATTGGGTCATTCGTAAAAAATCAACTATTTACAGTGCACAGAGTCATAAAGCAAGTTTCAGTAAAGATGGAAAAATTAATGTACAAATTCTGTTCTCTGACCATAATAAAATTAGAAGTCAGTAACCAAAAGATAATCATTACCACCTGTATATTCGGAGATTAAACCAAACACACTTCTAAGCAGTTTGTGGCTCACAAAAGAAATCACAATGGAAATTACATAATATTTAGAAATGCATACATTGAAAACACAATATAAATTTGTAAAACGCATCCAGAGCATCACTTAGAGGGCTGTTTGTAGCCTGAATGCAGATTTTAATCAGCTACACATTCAACTGCAGAAATTTTTAAAATGTAGCAATTTAAAAAACAACAATAAAACAGAGCAAAAATTAAATAGAAATTGAAAAGCAAAAACTTACTTATTGATAACTGGGTAGTTGCTTATGAACTAAAGGAAGAAAATATTTTAAATTGTAAAGGAAAAAAAATAAAATTAATAGAAGAGGAAATATTGCATTGCTCCTGGCTCAGAGAAATGTTACTGTATAATAAAAAAGGGAGGGGCGCCTGGGTGGCTCAGTCAGTTAAGCGTCTACCTTCAGCTCAGGTGATCCTAGGGTCCTGGGATCAAGCCCTGTGTGGGGCTCCCTGCTCAGTGGGGAGTCTACTTCTCCCTTTCTCTCTGCCCCTCCCCCAGCTTGTGCTCTCTGTCTCTCTCTTTCTCAAATGAATAAAATAATCTTTAAAAAAATATTTTTACTGGCAGCTCAGGACCGAGTGCAAGTCACAGAATCACCATGATGCTTCAGAGGCTTTTCAGGTTCTCCTCTCTCATTTGGTCTGCAGTCTCAGTTCATTTGAGGAGCAACATTGGTGTTACCACAGTGGCATTTAAAAAGGAACTTGATCCTGTACAGAAACTCATCGTGGACAAGATTAGAGAATACAGAACTAAGCTACAGGCATCAGGAGGACCCGTTGATACTGGCCCAGAGCACCAGCAAGACCTAGAGAGGGAGCTTTTGAAGCTTAAGCAAACGTATGGTAAAGCAGACATGAATACGTTCTCAGACTTCACATTTGAAGATCCTAAATAAATCTGAAGTCATCAAGAAGCCCCAGTCCTGGAAAAACCATGTAAAATTTATTTGGTAATTTCACCTAGATTAGTTGTACAACTGGATCAGAATAAACATTTCTCAACTGTCAAAAAAAAAATATATATATATATATATTTTTAGGGGCGCCTGGGTGGCTCAGTCGTTAAGTGTCTGCCTTCGACTCAGATCATCATCCCAGAGTCCTGGGATCAAGCCCTGCATCGGGCTCCCTGCTTAGTGGGAAGCCTGCTTGTCCCTCTCCCACTCCCCCTGCTTGTGTTCCCTCTCTCACTGTGTGTCTCTCTCTGACAAATAAATAAATAAAATCTTTAAAAAATATATTTTTTAAAAAATGGCAACATTCCCTAAATTAATATATAGATAAAGATTGAATGTAGCCTCCATTGACATCAGTGGGAACACATGTCTTTAGAACTGAAGTCTAGTCAATCTAACTTACTTGAAAATATTGCAAAATATAAAAGTTACACCATTGGGAGTAAAAATGAAAAACAAGCCCCGTGGACAAAATAGAGACTTCAAAAATATAATCTGTTGGGGTGCCTGGGTGGCTCAGTCATTAAGCGTCTGCCTTCGGCTCAGGTCATGATCCCAGAGTCCTGGGATCGAGCCCCGCTCAGCGGGAAGCCTGCTTCTCCCTCTCCCACTCCCCCTGCTTGTGTTCTCTCTCTCACTGTGTCTCTCTCTGTCAAATAAATAAAATCTTTAAAATATATATATATATATATATTTATAATGTTACAGGACTTGGAGGTGTAAGTTACAAACCAAGAGTAACTTAGAGGTGAAAGGAATCACCTTTCATGAATTTTGCTAGGGCATTGAGGAAAATTGACTTATGTTTTTGTCCCAGTTATGGATAAGAGATTAATTTAGGGCTATTTACGAAAACAGTAATTTCAGAGATCAGTTAAGTTTGTTACCATAATAGCTATTCTCCTGAAATGTGTCAATATCAAAAGGAATGCAGCAAAGAAAAATGGGTAGTTGTTAAATTTATGCATGTTTTGAGTCATGAGCGTTTGATATACTAATTTTGCTTTCTTGTATGTTTAAAATTTCCTATAATTTTTTAATTAAAGTAAAAGAATGGGAAAGATATATAGTATGTTTAACTGAAAAAAATTTTATCCAAAAATACAATGCTTATATACGTCAAACATATAAGTTCCGTAACCACATTCCATTTATTCGGTAGAAAAAGGAGATCAACAGGCAGACAAGGAAATGTTGATAATAAATCATTACACAGAAGAACCTGCAGCTTTGTTATTAGTTAGGAATAAATTTAACATGAAAGCCTTGCTGTGTGTTTATTAAGCTAGAAAAAAATTATAAAACCTTATGTTGGCTAGACTACTCACTTCTGTACTCAGTAGTGTGACTGTGTCTTCCTAGAGGGAAAATTAGCAATAGACAGTATTTATAACATTGTTCACTCACTTAACCTAGTCTGTGGGATATGTAAGTGTCTAAGACATTAGTGAATGCTACTAAAGAATAGAATTTCTTCCCTAAAATGCTGTAAACTTAGGTGGCCCCCCAGTGTAGGCTGCCTTTTTGGGCCCTTAATATTTCTGTAACAACTAGCAGTGAACACATACTACAGGTCAGGCACTGTTTCCATCATTCAGACCTCCCAACTTCAGGAGGGTAGTTTCTATTACTTCATCTTACGGTTGGGGGAACTCAGTCTTTGCAAAGGGAAGTGATTTTCCCCACATCACACATTAATAATGAGCTCACTCAGGATTTGAGCCCAGGCAGTCTTCAAACCCCTGCTTTTTAAATCATTTCTCCAAACTCCCTCTCAAAATGAAAGCCATGTATCAAGTAGTTGACTTTCCTGTGTAGGGTCATTTAATTGCTTCAAGATAGCTACTACTAACATTACAGCTTCATTTTAGTATAGATTCTAGACGGCTTTGACCATAATGCTGATGGGAATAAGCGGTGAAACAGATCTTCTGATGTATAACTGATGACATTGTGAATAGGTACAGCCTTTTTTGGAAAGCATTTTGGCAGCATATTTCAAGAGCCATAAAATGCTCATATTTTTTGACCTAGTTAATGCCACTTCTGGGAATCCTCTAAAGAAATAGTCTAATATGGAAAAAGCCGTAAGCACTAAAGTGATCACCACAGCTATGTTTGTAATAGAGCAACTGGAAGCAACCCTAAATGTTCTCAGTAAAGGAATGATTAAACACACCATGGTATATTTACTTAGGCAGCCAATAAAAATGAAGTGTGATGCAACATAGACAAAGAAAACACAGTCATCTTGAGCTTTCAAAGCAGCACACAGCTGTATCTGCACTAAAATTACAGCTTTTACAAATATGAAAAAAGATGGAGGGGCACCTGAATGGCTCAGTTAAGCTCCTGCCTTTGGCTCAGGTCATGATCCTGGGGTCCCGGGATCAAGCCCTGCATCCGGCTCCCTGTTCATCAGGGAGCCTGCTTCTCCCTCTGCCCCTCACCCCGCTCATGCTCTCTCTCGCTCTTTCTCTAATAAAATCTTTAAAAAAGAAGATGGAATAGAATAATGTTGTGGGTGATAGTTTTCTTTCTGCTGTTTCTCAAGCTTTTTGTAAAATAGATTTATTCCTAATTTTAAGATTTAAGTCACATGATTACTTACTGGTTTTGTGCATTCATCTCCTAACCCTCACTAGATTATAAGCTGCATGTTTAAAAAGAGCATCACTGGACACAGGCAAATTTCAAGCACCTCGCAGGTACCTCATTTACTGGTTGCATGAACCTCGGCCATTCAGTCTCTCAGCTCACTTATTTGACTCATGAAGTGAGCAGTGCAATTTGCAAAACATGAGTGGTATCTTTGGAGTCAGGGGACCTTGCTGTGTGTCTTGGGCTGTTAGGTGGCTCCAACTTTGTAAAGCTCAATTTCCTCATTCATAAAAATGAAGCTAGTGAGATCAAGGTCTGGCACTCCTTTAGTAGAGGCTCTGAAAATATTCCTTCCATGCAGGTACAGCCCTTATAAAGTGTTCCTCACCTTTCTGTATCCTTGCATGACAAGAGCAAATCTAAAGTCTTCAGCTAACTTCTTTTGAGCAGCAGCTTTTACATGACGATCTTCTAGCATAACTTGTTATCTATAATTTAGAGTTAAGGATGAAGAAAAGCTTTGTCATTCAGTGTGGATTGAAAAATTTTCAGTTTTGTTTTAATCTTTTTTTTCCCATATAAAAATATAGTAAATGGTCATTGTCAAACATTTGGAAAATACAGAAAGCTGGAAGAAGAAAATTATACCATAATCTTTCCACTTAGAAGTAACCATTATACATTTCATTTCCTTTTAGTTTTTTCTGAATAACTGATTTTTTTAAAGGAGAAATATAGGAAAGCTCTTATTAGAACGTTTGTTATTTTGGGGGCAAGTTTAATACGATGTTTTGTGTTTGTTTTGAGACAGTTTACCTTCAAAAATTGATTCTTATATAGGGAGAAAGACCAAGCTAGCAATAAGGAACCACATAGGGGATGGGGGTAGGGATATCTCTGTCTTAATTAGTAGGACAGTTTTTTTCTGTAATTCTGATACCTATCAAAGAATGAACTTACGTAAAGTCGAATTACCCAAATCATGCTTCCTGGACTTTTTTTTAGGACAATTACAATTTTAAATAACTTGTGATGTTTTCTTTGCAAGTTATCTTGTACCGATTCAGACCATGAGTTGTGAATTTTGGTTTGGAAAATATAGTCATCATACATAAACTTGGAATAAAGAAAAAGCTTACAGAATAACCACAATTTCTTGGCTCTGGTCCTTATCATTTTTAGAACATGCAGTTTTAAAAAATCATCAGCCCCTGTAATATCCTCTGGAGAAAAGGAGGAAATTTATCCAGTGACAGAACCAACAGAGCAGCGAATACCTAGAAAGACAGCCTGAGCTACTGTGGCCATGTGGGGCCAGGCATTGATGTCACATTACACTGACCTGTGTTGGACTTGTACTTAAATCAGAAAGAGAGAATGTACCTGTTGAGGGATTGAGAGCATTGATCCCTCTATTTTCTGGGCTTTGCTGTTCAAGGGAGGCTTCTACAGGGTGACTTTAAAAGTGGGGGAAAAGGTTTTTTCCCTCTTTCATTTCCTTTCTTCAGAGCAGCAATAGAATTATGAAAGGTGACAGGGCACATCCCATATAAATAATTTTCAGTGTGGCATATCTGTCATCCCCACTACATCGAGGAGGACATGAGAAATGTTCAAGGTCAGTGTATTGTCTTGCCTCATCACTCTCCTTTGAATATGCCACTGTGGTTTGTGCCCCTTTGACTTCTGAGGTCTGCCGCCACAGGCAAGCGACTCTTGATTGGTTGGGAGTAGGTGTCCCTCACTCCTGCCTAAGTATCTGCACATCAGGGAAGTCACTTGTCCTTTAGAGTCATTTCTTCTGACAAGGATGGGCCATAACTCCTTACTGATACTTGGCTTATTAACCCTTTCCAGTTACTTCCTCTTTGAGGAAAATCACTTGACCTCTTCACAGAAGAAAACCTAACCTGTAACACCATTTGAGGATCCAGCTTAGAACTTAATTGACCACTACAGCTTTAGGCAGTACTTGGGTACAATGGGATAGTGGGAATTTGGAAGTGTCATGTGAGAGGGGGGCAGATAACTAAACCCTGTAAACTTTCTACTTGCAATAACTTTGGTCCCTCCAAAACTGTGCTTGCCTGAGATAGAACTTGGTGCCCTACAAAAAATTATGACCTGAGACTTTTGAACTGCTGAGGGAAGTAGTATCCAGAAGCTGCATAGAAAGTTAGCTGAATTTACACGCTGTTCTATAAGAGAAGATGATCAGTTCCACTTAATTCACTGTACTTTTTAGACTTTCTCTGTAACTGATTGTTGATAAAAATGATTTAATTTTTTTCAGTATTGCCTGTCAGGGCACCCAACCTTACCGTGCAATGTGCTCAAATTCAAATCAACTACCATTATGTTGGACTGTGGACTGGACATGACTTCCACTCTCAATTTCCTTCCTTTGCCACTTGTTCAAAGGTACGTGCTGCTGTATCTGGGACAAAATGAGCTTTAGTTTGCTGAAAAATTGTACCGATTAGCATAAAGATTACCAGTACCTTGTGTATTGTCCTTAGTTTACTTTGTTCCCTTAAAAATGTTCTTCATCAGAATTATTTCCTTTGACTGGGTTGATGGAAAGTGTTGTATTGATTTATTGATTGACTTCTTTATTACAACTTCTTCTGAGCATCTTTATTATAACTTCTTCTGAGCGTCTGTAAAATGTTCCTGCAACTGCTCCATGCAAGTGAGGTCATGTATATTTCATCTTTCTTGCTAATTCATGTAAGAGCTGATAAATGGTCAACTGATGAGCCCAAGAATTGGATTTTAGAATCATTTAATTGCCTTTGCAGGGACTTGACATCATAGAGCCTGACATTTCTTTTTGATAGGTATCTATGTGTTATTTTCATAATAGCTATAGATATCAAAGAATCATATATGAAGCTAAAGTCCTTGTCTTAAAGCAGATGGATTACCTGAAGTCTGTAGTCACCACTGTTTACTCTTACTATGACTTTGGCTAAGAAATTGGTTTCCCAGCTTGCTGCTAATTGAAAACAGCAATTTATAAGAGAGGTGGGTAACTAACAGAAGCAAATATATTCCCAGTAACAAAAAGTGATATCACATAGGAGAGACAGAAAATCTATCTAAAGCAGATTTAAGAGCTTAAAAGCATAGCAACCTGGGCAAACCATCTAATATATCTCATTCATTCCTGAAGACATCACTGTGTGCAATGATTATTCATAATGATAATCTTCTAGAAAAAGTATAATTAAAACTCAACCTTTGATTTCTTTTTTCCTGAGATAAAGGATACAATAAGGTAAAGGGGACAGAGAGAATTCAGAGATAATTCCAGATTACATTTTATGCAAACCTGATAAAATTCACTTATAGTCATACCCAACACTTAGAAATACATTTATTATCCACAGATATTATCTATCTATATATATTTACAATTGCTTCAGAAACTGTAGGTATCGCATATATTTCTGTAAAAAATGACTGACAGGTTATTTCTTACTAAAATAGCCTGATATTTTTATTGTCTCTTTCCCCCCAGAGATTACAGTGTTCATTTATTTGGTGTTTATTAAGAATCTGCACTGTGCCGGACCAGGGGATACAGACATGAATAAGACAACTTTCCTTTCCTCATGGAGCTTATAGTCTGTTGGGGAGAAAGTATTCCACAGTCGAAGACTTCATTATACTTATGTTAAGAGAACAACTACATACTTGTGATAATTACTAAAAAACTTAAACATAAGGTATTATGAGAGTTTCCTAAAGGGGGCCTACACACACTGCAAGGTCATGAGTTATCTTGCTGCTCCAGTCCTGAATTGGGCAGACAATTCTAGCTGCATATTTTCCCTTTCCTGCTCATTCTTGTCTTTACCTAATTCTGTGTTCTCACAGCCCTGACTCAGCCCTGGAATCCACTTCCACTCTCTTCCCCTTATCGTTGTTCTTCTTTCAGAGGGAGGTTATGCTAGTGGGATGATTGGCAGCCCATATATAGTTCCTTACAAAAAGTATTTTCTGTTGCTCAGGCCAGAAACCTTGGAGATAACACTTGGCTAAAATAGTCCCCCCAGTCCCTCCCTAACCCCTCATCCTGCTTTATTTTTCTTCATAGCACTTATCCTTACATTATATATACATATTTAGTTTATGTATGTATCTATCTTCTCCACTAAAAGTTTTATAAGGGCAGGGATTTTTTTGTTCTCCACTGAATCCCCAGTGCCTAATGGCACTGTAGTTCTTGGCATGTAGTAGCTACTCAGTAAAGATTTGTCATATTGAATGAATCCTTTTATCTTCTCTGGATTCCAACCCTTCTTGAGAGCAATTTCGCTGTTAATTGTAATCTTTCTTTTATCTTGAATCTTTCTTTTGTCTTGAACCTTTCCATCCTGATTCAATTCTTCTCATTTAATTACGCTCAGTTACTTCTAACTTGATATTTTAAAAAAATTTTTTAACCTTCTCTCGACTCCACTTTCCCCTTCAGCATTACTAACTCCTCTCCAAGGAGGAGTTTGCCCATATCACCTACCAAAACACCGCTCGCCAGAGTCACAAATGACTTCTGTGTCACTAGAGGCATGTTTGTCAGTTCTCATCCCACTTGGCCATTTGGCAGAACTGCCCTTCAGGATCATGCATTCCTGGTTTTCCTTTTTTCTAACTCTTCCTCTTCTATCTAAGATACTTGGGAGGTTCGTCTTTCTCTAACAACAGTCACATACCAGAATTCTTCAATATCCAGTGCTTGGCCATCAGAGTCTCTACCAAGGCAACTTCCTAAGTGCTCAGGGCTCTGATAACCATCTAAACAATAAGCTACAAATGTGTATCTTTAGTTAATAATTCTCTTCTGAGTTCCAAATTCATATACACAAAACACCTACCGAGTTTCTCTCCTTGGATGTGGCTTTGAAGGCACCTCAAAACTCAGCATGCCCCAAACTGAGTCCATGAGTAGACTTCATTCCGAAGAGGAGAGAAAACCCTCCCAGACCTGGTTTTCTCCACAGTGCCCTATCTTAGTGACTGGCATGCTGATATGAAAGCCAGAAAACTGGGAGTTAACTTAGATATGCCACTCTTTCTCATTGCCCATATCCAGTCTTTCATGAAGCCTTGTTATTTTTACCTTCCAAACACTCTAGAATCCAGTCACTTCTCTTTAGGCCTGCTGTAGGCATGACTATCTTTATAGGCATTACTGTCAAGGCCTCCTAGTCAGTTTCTTTAGTTCTGACCTTGCCCTCGTCTGAATCCAGAGCCATTTTTGTGTAACTTTTCTATTTTGAAATCATTTCAGATTTACAGAAAAGTTGCAAGAATAGTACAAACAACTCCCAATTACCCTTGTTAATATTTTATCACATGTACTTTATGATTTTCTCTTGATACGTATGCATACAATTTTTTCTGACCCATTTGAAGGATACAGACAGGATGCTCCTTTACCACCTAAATACTTGAGGGCCTGTTTGCTAAGAAAAAGGAAATTATTTTACATAACCACAGTACAATAATCAAAATCAGTGAATCAAAATAGTTCACACTGACACTGTGCTAGTATCTAAGCTGTATACCTTTTTCATATTTCCCAAGTTATACCAATTCATATTTCACTGTAATGCCTTTTATAGCAAAAAAGAACAGCAATATTGGTCCAGATCACACATTGCATTTAGTTGTCCTGTCTTTAGTTTCCATTAATCTGGAAGAGTTTCACAGTCTGTCTTTATGACCTTGTCATTTTTAGGAGTATGGGCTAATTATTTTGTATAACAACTTTCAGTTTGGGTTTGTCTGATATCTCCTCATATTTAGGTTGGGATTATTTTGATAGGGATACCACACAAATAGTGGCATATATTATCAGAGTGCACATTTTCTTCAGAATCATCTTTTAGAAATACACATCTAATCTTGTCTCTCACCTGTTTAAAACCTTTCAGTGGTTTACATTGCTCTTACGATAAATACCAAGTTCATCTTGGTATATTATGGTTTATGCCCACCCCTCTAGTATCTCACTTTTTATTTCCTTTCAGTTTCAAAGAAATCCTATCTCCTGCCTGGGTGCAGTCACACAAATTTTTCCTTCAGCCATAAAGACTCTTTTCCCCCCTCCCCCATCCCTCCTTCCCTTAGCCTACTTATCAAGAGCCTTTATGCCTCCAGTTTCTATATAGGAAGGACACAGAGGGAGCGTTCTGGTTGGATGAGGGGGGAGAGTGTAAGTGGGCCTCTTCTTGAAGCTTCATTTGAATAACCTTTTATGTAAGATGTCCATACCAAAGACTGGTCAGAATGACTGGAGGAAAGTATGGGCCTTGTAGCTGTCTTTCTCTGTTCCCTCCAAACCCTGCCCTTTGACTCAGTTTCCCCTTTAATCTAGAACTGTCCAGATCTCACCTCAATCATCATAGATCCAGAGAAGTCTTGATGCTGCCTTGACCAGTCCCTCTTTAGGGAACTTTGTACTAGACTGCATCATCATTTTTAACATCTTGTACTCTCTTTGTGTGATTACTCAGGACAGGTATGTTTTGTTCACGGTCATAGCACCAGTAGCTGCATGCCTGACACATAAATAGAGATTCATTACTGAGTGAGTGAAAGTGAACAGCTCATTCTCCTCCAGCACTGTTGCCACATGTTGAGGCTGTTCCCTCCCTGTGCCCTCTTTATGGAAACACCTCCTCTGCCCTCACCTCCTAACTCCTATTCCCAGCTCTCCCACAACACCCTACGCTGGCAAAGGTGCCCTTTCTGTGTGAACCCATAACACTTCTGCTTACCCCATCATAGCTTTTATTTTATTCTGTTGTAATTGCTGTTGACCGTCTCCCTCTACTAAAGTGCGCACTGCTGAAATTCAAGGATTATTTTATGTAGTGTCATAGCCTTGCACTTTGTATACTTTGTTCAGAGTAAGCTTTTATAAATATTTTTTGAATGAATAAAGGTAGTCATGCCTCTTACATTCTTTTCTGATTATAAAAGTAATGCATTTCAGCCTTCAGTAGGAAAGTGGAAAAATGAAAAGTAGAAGGAGAAAATGAATTGCATCTCATGTTTGTTCTACCTTTCACTACTTTTTTTTTTACCTTTCACTATTTTTTTAGGCAATAGATTACTTTTAAATGCCTTAGGTTATTTACTTATGGGAATATTTTACCTATTTTTTTAAAATATAAGTGAAGGGGATTAAGAGGTATAGGTAAAAGTCACGGAGATGAATAGTACAGCATAAGGAATATAGTTATTAATATTGTAATAATGTATGTTGATATCCGGTGACTACAGTTTCTGTAGTGAGCGTTTAGTAATGTATAGAATTGCCAAATCAATATGTTGTATACCTGAATTTTATATATCTCTGTCAACTATACTTCAATAATATAAAATAAATAGCAGATCTTGTATACATGTGTTTTTTGACTATAACATTTTTAATGGCATTTTTTTCTAAGAAATTATTGTTAAATAGGAGATGGAAAGATGTTTCATCTATAATCATAATTTTTCTATTATCTTCACCTCCCATATTTTATTAAAGTAGATTTCTGTAGAGACTTCTTTCTCCTTATTTTAAAAAATTCACAGAGTCAGAGGCGCCTGGGTGGCACAGTCAGCTGAGTCTTGGTTTCGGCTCAAGTCATGATCTTAGGGTCGTGAGATCAAGCCCCGCGTCAGCTCCACCTGGGTGTGGAGCCTGCTTAAGATTCTCTCTCTCCCTCTCCTTTTGCCCCTCCACACCCCACATGCACATGCATGCTTGTGTGCTCTCTCTCTCTCTCTCTCTCTCTCTAAAAAAAATGTACACAAATTCTGTAATAAAAGAGCAACATAATAAATCCCTTTCCCTTTGGTAGCTTAAAGTATACTGAGTCTATGATTTAGTCATTAACTGAGTGGAACTCAGTAACCAAATATTTTTATCTCTGTAGTCAGCATCCCTTTGCTATTTGGTGACACATTTCTGTGGCACTTCATCTTTGGCACTATTGTTATAACATGGTCATTGCTCTTCTTTGAGCAATCAGTCCCATCTACTGGCAATTTCTCAAATCCAGAATAACTACAGGTGTTTTATAGAAGGCTTTGATGTTATTAAAACAGGATTTAGGGCACCTGGGTGGCTCAGTCATTGAGCGTCTGCCTTCGGCTCAGGTCATGATCCCAGGGTCCTGGGATCGAGCCCCGCATCCAGCTCCCTGCTCCAAGGGAAGCCTGCTTCTCCCTCTCCCGCTCCCCCTGCTTGTGTTCCCTCTCTCACTGTGTCTCTCTCTGTCAAAAAACAAAAAACAAAATCTTAAAAAAAGCATTTAACAGGAGTTAAAACTACAGTACCTGAGGGGCTCCTGGCTGGTTCAGTTGGAGGAGCATGTGACTCTTCATCTCAGGGTTGTAATTTCGAGCCCCACATTGGCTGTAGAGATTACTTAAAAATAAAATCTTTAAAAAAAACAAACCTACAGGGGCACCTGGGTGGCTCAGTTGGTTAAGCGACTGCCTTCGGCTCAGGTCATGATCCTGGAGTCCTGGGATCAAGTCCCACGTCGGGCTCCCTGCTCTGCAGGAAGCCTGCTTCTCCCTCGGCTTGTATTCCCTCTCTTGCTGTCTCTCTCTCTCTGTCAAATAAATAAATAAAATCTAAAAAAAAAAAAAAAATTTTTTTTAAAAAACAAACCTACAGCATCTGAAAACTTTACTTTTTAAAAAATTATTGTCTGATAAGCAGTGTACCATTCTAATCATTTGTTGTAGACAACTAACTGAATCAGTCATCTGTAATTTGAAGGCTGATTTGTTGTGTATGTGATGGGGGAATAGACAGAATACATGTGCTGTGATCCAGGTCTCTTCATAAAGGGAAGTGGATATTCACAGCCTTCCTTTAGAGGGTTAGTGTGCACGAAATGAGAACAGTATTCACATTGTTTTGTCATACTTTCATTTGAGTGCTTGGTTTTTTAATTTGATCTGACAGTAAATATATTTTTCAACAAGTCTAGAAGTGAAAACATACATGTAACTATGAAATGAGATGGGAATTAAACAGCTAATGATAGAATATTTTTCTGAGACAACTCCCAAAGTTTAAAAAAAACAAGCCTATCAGGTATAATTTATACAAACCAAATTTATTCTGCTACTAGTAATTTTCATTCCCAAGTGTGAAATCCAAAATTCTCACTTTTTGATAAATAAAAGCAAAATGTAAACAGAGAGTAGAGGCAAGGGGCATATGGGACTTCATTATCCTTACATTCTTACAACTTTTCTGTAAGTTTGGAATTATGTCAAAATTAAAAGTTATCCCCAAATTCTTATTTTTTTCTAAAATTAGATGAATGTATATTTTAGGGACTTCATTATCCTTACATTCTTACAACTTTTCTGTAAGTTTGGAATTATGTCAAAATTAAAAGTTATCCCCAAATTCTTATTTTTTTCTAAAATTAGATGAATGTATATTTTACTCAAGTTCTTAACATTTCCGAGAAGATTGGAAAATACAATATTTTTGTTTCTATTTGACTTTCATACCCTTTCACCTAACTACAAAATCTAAACTTGATAAAACTATTTTGGCAAGAGGATGAAGGACTGTATACTAATTTGATTTCTAATATAGAGTCTTTTAGTCCCACGCTATTACTTTGCCCTTAATTTTTACTTTACAGACTGATTTTGGGATGAAGTGCTAACTAACATCCTTTTGCCATCCAGCTTGTACTTCAGATGTGCTTTTCTTCACATAACACCTTGCTCATTAAGTTTTTCTTTTTATCAGCATTTTTCCCCTATGTTATTTGCATTTTCATCCTTCAGCATAATTCTTCTAGTCAACTCAAATCCTGAGATTACCGGGAGTGAATGATTTCTGAATCTAGACTTTTTCACATATATATGAAATTAGCCTCATCTTCTAGAAATTATTCACCTACATATGCTGTCATTTTGTAATACTTAGGAAGACTAGGTTCATTTTCCAGAATTGGAAACCCAAGCCACAGGTGAGAAGTGACTAATACATTTATAAGCGGTGAATCTGGAATGTGGACTTGACTGGAATTCAGGTATTTTTATTTGCAGTGAATTTAGTGTTCTTGTCAAAGCACCTGACCCCGCTGAGTCTGTTTTCTCATCCACAGTATGATGATCCCGTTCAGCCCTCCCCTCAGGCTTGTTGTCAAGCACAAGCAAGGTGAAGTCATGGGCAGTCACTGGAACCAAACTATAAAATGTTTTAGTGTCTCATCTTTCTTTTTTCTCTTTATTATTCTGCATAGGAGTCTTTTAATTTTCCCAATTTAGCACTAAACTACTTGGCTTTTTAATGTTCCGTTGCCACGTAATTCTTAAGCTTGTTACAACATGGTTATTTTTCATCTTTTCAATTAGTATTTTGGGTGGACATTGCTGCCAGTAATTTCAAACTGTTTTTAACTTTATGGAGATGATACAGTCACCATGAAATCACTGAGGACTATAATCTATTTAGGATAATTTAATCTTTTGTTTTGCAGCCCCAGGCTGTCTAATCTTCCTGGCTGGTCCCTAAAGGATGGAAATGCTTTCTTGGATAAGGTAATAATAACTGAGGCATATCTACACCCAGTGGAAAGCCATCTTGTCATACCAGAGCCACCCTATAGTAATGTGATGGATGGGGTCATTTTTTTCCCTTTGTATTCTCTGAAAAATCCCAAGATCCATGTAGGGTCTTCAGTATGTGGTGATTATTTTTAAGAGCCTTTTAGGGAATCTCAGTGTTCAGATTCAGGTCCAATTTGCTCGTGTGTAAAAATCTAAGAACTTCTGCTGCAAATACATTTTATCACCACAGAAAGAAAACTATTATTTTTAGCAGTGCAATGAGAGTTTCAAAGGTAATGCCTATAGAGAGTTCCATCCAGTTCGTTCTATTTTCAGGCTGTACTGACTCCATGACTGGAAGGAGTAAAACTTTTTTAAAAAACAACTTTAAAATCCTCAAGTATGTGAGTTTTAAACTGTTTCTGTCAGCAGTTAGGTAAGGTAGGGCTTTGAGAAAAGTTTGGTTCTTACTCTTTGGGTGAGGAGAGGCCATGGAAGGAGGGCAGTGTCATTATCTGATCAGATCACTCTGGCTGCCATGTGCAGAACAGACTGCAAAGCCAGTGTTTAACTTCCCAGGCAATGTGTTCTTGGGGGAGTAGGAGGGAAAACATGTTCTTGGGTAAATTTAAATAGAGGGCCTTCTAAACTATGAACTATCATCTTATTCCAACCTTTCCTGGTAGCCTAGAATGGACAGCCTTATATAGGTCATGAACAAAGAGCACAGTTCTAGGAATCTAGGATTTGGGGTTCTATTTTGACTTTAATCACTGACTAGGCCTACAGTAAATGACATAAATAAATTTTCTTCTGAGGCTGTTAAATTTTTGACATTAGATTATCTTCACAGTAATTCCTTCTTCAGATCAGTTTTTAGGCAGTTAATTTACAAATCAGAGACCAAAGGTACAAAAATGTTAAAACTATCATCTAGTTACATTTTCTACTAAAAAAAATCAGAGGTAAAGGAAGGTTAAAAACTGTAAAGCTCATGCATGCCATTCTTAGTCCTCCAAATCATCCTTCCTGTCTCAAATTTCACTATTGAAAAACTGAAGAAATTTAAAGATCCTTAAAAAGAATCATCCGCCTAAGGCATCTCCTTCTTGTAACAGGTATTATTAATAAAGGGATGCTCTTTTTACAGAATTAATTTCTGAAACTGCACCCCAACCTCCAGTGCAGGCCAAATGCATAATTTGAAGCCAGATTTCCCTCCTAGCTAACTGCAAAATTATATGACATTCAGGAACCTGTGCACCTGATTTCAGCCTAACTCTCCTGCTGGTTGTAAATCATTGTTCCCTGTGAAAGGCTCAGAAGCATCCCATTACCAGTGCATTGTGAGCGAAAATGACTTGCATGTGTATGTGGGAGCATTTCATTAGAAGGGAGTGGTGAATAAAATACAGGGACACTATAAGTGCGTGGAATGGCAAATATGCTTCTCCAGGCCCGGAAGGATTGAGCGCCTCAGAGGAGGCGTTGTCGTGTGAGGTGGACATGCCCTGATGTGTAGCATTATGGGGAAGAAGATTACATAGCCAATTTAAGACCAGGCAGGACTTTGAAATTTCCCATGATTTGTCTTTAATCATATTTAGCCTCATCCTAAGGGAGTTGGGAGTCCTCTCCCATTAAACATAATTGCTCATTTGTTTTTTGCTAGCAGGTACATTGTAATTAAGAACTGTTTTCAGTCCGTTTTGGGCTCGGTCTTTCACTGTTTAAATGGTAGTCCTATAAGAAGAGGAACCAGTTTATTACAGTGGAAGGCAAGGGGAGGAAGTCTGTCAGGTTCTGATATGAGACTTGTAAAATTCAAAAGGAAAATCACACATAGTTAATACCCTAATTTCAGATAAAAATTGAGAGTAAAACCATGCAGACTCTAATATATAAAGACACGTATATAGGACTATGTAGAAATACGTGTTCAGTGATTAATGAAAACATGATGGACAAAATTCTAACAGTATTTTTCTTTTTCTGGAAAGAGCAAACTGTCAACCAAACACTGACTTTTACTGGTTTCCATATAAAGTCAGAGAAAACTTTAACCTTGATGAACCAAAAAGTCTTCCACAGATTTCAATGTAAAGTATGAGCGAGGGAAGACAGCAACTCCAGTGGCCTTCTGGAGGCATTGTAGCAGCCCCTGTTGGTGGCCCTCTCGTGCCTCTTCTCTGCGTTGCTCTGTCATAATTTCAGCTACCAATACCTGTATGAGTCTGCCAGAGAGTTTTTTCCCTGAAGCTGCACAAAATGTAGGAGTTGCCATGTAAATATCCCAGATTGCTTGCCTTTGAGGATGGTGACTCCAAGGTGTATGTTTTACACCATTTCTTAGAACTCTAAGAACTCTATTCCCATGGGAATAAGTCCCAGCTGTGCACAGTGGTGTGTAGCTCAGTAACATATCCATTGTCAGCCCCCTATTACTTGCCCATCCTCCTGCTCTTTTTTCAGCACTTCCCTGTTAGCTCGTACTCACCCTTTTCTCAAGGTCTGTTGGTGAGGGAATCCAAACTAAGACATACTAAATATGGTAGGTCATGAGCAGAGTGGGGAATTGTAGTATATTCTCTTTCTATATAAGTATACTTTTTTCTTTTGAATGAATACATTTGGTTTACAACCCCAAATAAATTGTATGCTCCGCAAGGACAAAGATTATGTCCACGGAGGTGAGGGTGATGGTGGTGGCTTAATCCCTACCCTCTACTCTTCATCTCTCTCCTTGTTTGCCCCCTGCCCCTCAACCCTTGGTAGGAGGAGAAAGAAGCTGTAAGTCTAGGGCCAGGACTCCCAAGCTGACTGCATAACAAAATCACTAGAGGTGCTTGGCCTCATCCCCAGATTTCTAATCCCTTGGGTCTTAGATGACCCCGGAATCTTTACTTCCATCAGTGTTCCCAGATTATTCTGATATTGCTGGTATGGGCTATATAACTATTAATTGCAAATCACTGCATCATGAATTAGAAAGCAGCATATGTCCGCACATGCCTTGAAGAGGCATCAGGAAATGTACATCCAAATTCTGAGTTAGCCACCAACCAGCGGTTTTTATCCTGAGTAAGACACTTAGCCTCTCTGAGCCTAAACAGGAAAATAGTTGGCGTGAGTAACCTTCCGGCTGCCTTCCAACTCTCTAGACGTCTGTGATTCTTCATGGAAAGTTTGGTTTGGGGATGAAGTTTCTTTGGTGCTGTATCTGTTGGGTATCTCTTCCTAGAATTTTTTACTTTTTGTTCCTTTTAGGAGCTAAAAGAGTGCTCAGGTCACGTATTTGTGGATTCTGTGCCTGAATTCTGCCTGCCAGAGGTAAGATGAAAATGATTCTTACTGTAGAAACAAAGCATATCTCTCAAAATGAAGTCAAGAAATAATTTTAAGGGGCTTATTAGCTTTCTTTTTTCAAATTGAATCAGTTATTCCGGGCACATTATTATACAGCTAAAATATAATCATTTAGGAGCTTTTTATATTATCTGTAAGAAATTTTATCTCTCCTTTTTATATTCCTTGCTCTTTCTGTAAACCCCACTGACACTGTGTACCAGAGCATAGTTTTGAGCAAGGTACAGAAAGAACTCAAGCCTTTCAGTTTTGTAATTATATGCCTGTGTCAGATTAGCCATACTTTTTGTAGTCTTGTTTACAGTGGGTAATTGGGAATTGCTGTTACTCAGCCAATACAATAAACTGTAAAAATTCTTGCTGACTTTAAATATCATCAAATACTGCTTGAAATTCACAGATTCTGAATTGAGCCATGGATACCTATTGCTTACATATTATTATCCCAGTGAGACTTGTTATAAGAGTTTGGAGCCAGTTTTATCATTTTAAAGGAAATGAGGATCAATTTCCATTCATTTTAAGGCAGCTAATCTCAGCTGACAATCCTGATCTTAGACTGGTATAGATGGCATTCTCAACAGCCAGATAAAGTATAGGGAGGCCAGTAGCTAGTCCCAGGTTCCTGAGGAAATCAACAGGAGAGGCTACCATCCTGTTCTTTCCATGCACCCAGTGGATTACAGTGCATGCGGGAGATACTTCCACAGTTCAATGCCAAAAGAAAATTTGGAATATTTTTCCCTTATTTTTGTACTCTCTTCCTGCCTCTCTTTCCATCTCACCACTTTCTTTGATACTTTGTAGATAAACTTTTTTTCTTTGAAGTATGTGTATGTGCCCTTTTGGGATAGTGGAATGAAAGAGAAGAAGACACAGTAATTGAAGGTGGCAGTTAAGGGAACAAGTTTGAGATAAAGTAGTAAGAATAAGGGTGAAGGTAAAGAGTTACCAGGAGTCCTGAGCTCTTCCTAACTGCTATTCAAATCTTTTGTCACCTTCATTTGTCATTTAGGAATTGGTGGGGCAGGTCCCCATCTGTTCAGAGATTCCTAATCCCAAGTGCTACGTTTATTTTCAGTTTTCTACATATGGCACTGACTGCTGCAACCTTCAGTTTATGGACAACAGTGTAGAATTTATGAATTGTGCTCTAATGACTTTCTGACCTGCTCCATAGAGCACTAAACAGTCAAGACTTGGAATTAAACAATTACCATTTCACAGTTCATCTTTTGCTGAGCTAAAGGATCATTGATATATTTAGGCTTCTAGAGCTGTATAAAGTTTTTCCACTTGTTTTGTCTTGTAGTTTGGGTCAAACTAATAATAGTCACTATTTTAAGGTAGAGGTAGGGCATTGTATGACTGGGAGAAAATAGGAGAGTCACAGGATCAGGAGAGAGGTACTTATTCCAGTCCAGTCTTCCCAGACTTGTAGGTGAGCCAGGAGGACCTGCTCCCAGTCTTCACGGAATTTATAATCTAGTGCAACTACCTAAAATATTTTTGTACCCCCAAAGTCCACACTGTAGACTGAGTATGAGGTCTATGGCAGTATAGTAAGCAGCCAGTAAATTATGAGTGTTTGACCCAATTCATGGTCTGTAGAACCCAAGTGTGTCTGTATACAAGTTGAAAATTAATCCTCATTGGATTTCATCAAGTGAAAGAATGTAAGCAAATATATAAATGTGAGTATATAAACATGGATTGGATGTTAAATTTATTTCTCAGAGGAAAAATGTTTATGTAGGCACTCTTGATATATATACAGACAAAATATATATATATATATATATATATATATATATATATATATATGTATATGTATATATATTTTTTTCTTCCAGCTGTCCTCACCAGATTTCTCATCATTCTAGACTCTGTGGGCTGATTCTTACATATTAAAGAGAAATTTCAAACTCACCCGGTTTCTATACTCAAGAGGGAAAGTAGAGATGCTTTTGAGCTTTCTTGTTGCTTCAACTCTTGTTCCCTTGTTTTCTGGATCTGTCACCCTTTGATTATGTCTTAATTTTCTTACTTGTTTGAAAATGGTTCTAAAGGGGTCATAGGGAACAGAACTAGTGGAATGTTACATGACCCTTCATTATGAGGATATTGTCTTGGAAATGCCATGTACAACATGGAGTTAAGGGTGGTGTAAATTGGCTCTTACTGTCATTAGGCATTTTATTTACACAGATTGCCATTGCCCTAGCAATGAGTAGCTTCTGACCTCTAATCTACATGCTGTCCTCAGGAGCTGATTATGTCTTGGTGGCTTTATTAAATTAACTTATTTCATATATAAAGTCATTGAACTAGAAAATGCCCACAGCCCAAATGGCATACTGTCTCTCTTATTTGCAAAGATGGCACAGACATCTTTTTTACTTCTTCTCTGTGGGAGACATATTAGCTCAATAACCCATTCTCCTAAGTAAAACACTTCCTTGACTTACCCCTTGCTGTCCTTAGTGCACCATACAGTTTCTCAGAGGGAACTTCAGTGATTGAGATGATGTCTCTGAGCCAGGGCGACTCACGTTTTCCCACAGAGGGTGCCAGTTATAATGTTGCATCGCTCCAACCATAGTGCACCAAGGCTTGCTTTGCACTGGCCACCATAGCTGGGAGGGGACAGAGATGAGTCACACAGGATCGTTAACCTCAGAGACATTTAGTACTGGAGGGACAGAGTGGTGCTTTGAGGAGCTATTGCATGGAATGGTAACTGTCCTAAGAGGGACATCCATAAGTGCCTTTGTAGTTCTGAGGAAGAAATGTTGGGTTTTTGTTTGTTTTTTGTTTTCTGTTTTTTCATCTGGGCAAATCAGGAAGGCTTAATGGAAGAAGAGAATGGAGCCTTAAAAGACAGGTAGGACTTCAATATATGGGAAAGACAATTCCTTCTACGAAAAGGGTTTTCATAAAATTTCCTAAACAGTGGCATTTTCCCTTTTCACATGACCTTAATAATGAGGTAGATCTGAGGTTAAGGCTAGGGCAGAATATGAGAGTATAATTTCCTTTGGTGATTCTGCCAATAAATTTTTTGTTGTTGTTGTTCTGTATCCAGCACTAGTGGTCAAAAATTACCTCAAAAAAAGAAAAAAAGTTGCCTTCTGCATTTGACTCGTGAAGAGCGGGTTTCGGCACGCTGCTCCCTCTGTTACCAGTAAATCCGTAGCAGGGGTGCCTTGTATTCTAGTTCCCTCACAGCTTCTGTTATGCGCTCTCTGCTTCCTGGTAACTGGTTGCACTTGTGAGGCAGCAGCTGCTGAAGTGTCCCTGTTGTCATTTACCTTCGTATGTCAAACTCAGAACTCTATTTGAGTAAAATCGGGGCACTGCCGGTGCACTCCTGCATTCTCGCCGTTAGCCATCCTGTCCTGCTACTTAATGTCAGTATTAGGAAACCTCCTAAAATGAGAGAATGGAAGTGTTGCAGGAAAGGTGTCATTATTCTGTAGTACAAAAACGACTTCTCTGCATTCTGACAGCATCATTTTTCAGTCACATCATGCTGATCTGTGTGCCCCGAACAGATATGTATCATTCCCTCCCCTTTCTTTGCAGACCGAGCTAATAGATCTGTCTACGGTAGATGTGATCCTCATCTCTAACTACCACTGCATGATGGCGCTGCCCTACATCACTGAACACACCGGTTTCTCAGGCACAGTGTACGCCACAGAGCCCACCGTTCAGATCGGCAGGTGAGAGCAGTTATTCTTACCTCAGGAGGAAGGGGCTGAAGCACTCCTTCCTTCAGTGGTGACCATGTAATAGGGTGTTGTGCCAGGAGTGATTGGTGTCTCCTCCTGAGCAGCTAGCCAAAGAATTAGCATGAATAGACAACTCTCTAAATAAAAACAAGTGTTCATTGGAATTGCCTCGAGATTAATGCGGCGAGTACTCTTAGTCTTTCTTGTTGTTTTTGAAACAAAGACTGGGGGAAGGTGTTCGCAGAGACAGCTCCTCTGTGCAGATGATATTAATTAGGGAAGGTAACGTTGAGTAAGATGCCACAGAGTTGCAAGGCAAAGAGCTTCAGGAGAAAGGAGCATAGCACATTTAAGAAAAGAAGAAATTTTATTACTTTGCTTTCAGAATTTCCCCCCGTTATGATTTAGTGGCAGACTATAAATGGAGACAGCTCGCAGAAAACAGGATAAGTAATTAGATGGTTGAGTTGACTGTACTTTTGACAGAGTGCAACTCAGAGCTCTAAGGAGTCAAAGGAGCCTTCCTTTGACTCTGAGAACACTCTGCCATCTCTCCCTCTGCCCCTCCCAAGCCTTCATGACACAGGTGGTTGCTTCAAGTACCCCTAGCATCATTCATTGAGAGAAAAGTTACTCGAAAATTACCGGGACACCTGGGTGGCTCAGTCATCAAGCGTCTGCCTTCAGCTCAGGTCATGATCCCAGGGTCCTGGGATCGAGCCCCCGCATCAGGCTCCCTCCTCAGCAGGGGGTCTGCTTCTCCCTTTCCCGCTCCCCCTGCTTGTGCTCTCTCTCTCTGTCAAATAAACAAATAAAATCTTTAAAAAAAAAAAATACAAATACCTACCCCAGAAAAAAGAGTTGAAGCAAACTAACAAGTATGGTGAAAGGTGAAGCTATCGAGACTCAAAAGAGGGGATCAAGGTGTTGATATGGACTCTTGGCTTTGGGTTCCATTGTCTTGCAGAAGTACACCAAGATGGAATTACCAGAGATGAAACAAAATATGCCCTGGTTTTTATGTCAGCTCCCATTAAAGAGCGTGTAATGTGTACAGAGAAACATTGGGTATCTGAGGAAGAGACGTTACAGGGAAGTGAAACACGAGGCGACGGATCAGTTGCAACGAGAGGATAAGCTGAAAACCTGAGACTCTAGTCTGCGAAAGTTACAGTGTGAGGAAGGACACACCAGACTGCTCTCCAGAGAGCTACAGCTGGAACACTAACGTGCCTAGCTCCCAGATCTTTGAATGTTGGAACTAGTGCTGCTCCTTCAAGATGAAGGGAGGACATGGGATTAGGAATAAATAAATCCAATGGAAATGAAATGAAGTTGTTCAACATTCAAATGCCAGTAAATTGATGGCTTGCCATATCTCTTTGTTCATTGGGAGAGGATTTAAGTCAATATGGATCATCCATACTGGATTCTGAAAGGAGATTCAAGAGGTTAAAAATCTATCTTTCACTTTTTGGTCGTCCTCTAGCCATGCAGGACTCTTAACAGTTCTCTGTGCTAGGTATTCCTCAGAGCACGTGCATCATTGATCCACTCGAGTGAGGTTCCCTCAGTTGTGATTCCATCACAGTGCATCTTGTGATCTGCACACAGAACCTGTCCTTTTGCAGATCCTTGAGTTAAGCTTTTAGGATTAATCCTTAGAATATTTTTCCACATGGAATTTTGTAAGTTCACAAAACGTGTGAAAAAAACGTACTTTTCCAGTTTAAAATGTCCATTTAATATTGTCATTAAAAAAAAAAAAACAGTCCTGGTTGCCTGGGTGGCTCAGTTGGTTAAGCACCAGTCGGTTAAGCCGTAAGGCTCAGGTCATGATCCCAGGATCTTGGGATCAAGTCCCACATCAGGCTCCCTGCTCCACAGGGAATCTGCTTCTCTTTCTCTCCCTCCACCCTGCTTGTACTCTCGCTTCCTCATGCTCTCTCTCTCAAGTAAATAAATAAAAATCTTAAAAAAAAAAAAATCCTACCCCACCCCTCTGCCACCAAAATCAGGTACTTCACAGTCATTTGATTTTTTTTCTCCTTGTAGATTTTTAGTTATATAAAGGCAGAGATCTTAAGAGTGATAGTTAAACCACAGGCTTAACTTCACTTAAGAGTGAAATAAACCACAGGTATATTTCAGTGTTGAGGGATAAGATGCATGCCAGGCTTGTTTTAAAGGTGAATTAAATCATTTATGTTCGAAATGTTTAACATTGTTGAAATTCAATGAGATGGTTGGGGTTTTGTTCAGGTTTATGTAAAAGGGTGTCCCAAGTTTATATGCAACAGAGAGAAAGATGATTGGGGTGGAGGGAAGGCAGGCAAGCCCATTCGTCTTGGCTGCAATGTTAACTGTATGGTGTTTTTCTTTCTTTAATGACTGTTCACCACTTTTTTCTTTAAACTCAGGCTTCTCATGGAAGAGCTGGTGAATTTCATTGAAAGAGTACCCAAGGCTCAGTCTGCCTCCTTGTGGAAGAACAAGGATATTCAGCGGTGAGCAATTGGCCTGTTTATTCCTCTTGACAGTAGACCCTTAGGCTTTGCAAAACAGTCGCATTTGTTTTCTTATGTTATGCTTAACATTTATACTGTTATAACTATAGATTCTCTTTTCCCTGTTTTAGGGAAGGGTTATGTTTGATTCAACCAACATACCATGAGAGGCAACCGTGCCATGTTGCCTGTGGGTACTATGCTGGGTCTGAGTTTTTTTAAAAATTAGTAAAACGGTTGGCACTGTCTTTGAGGTGCTCAGGGGTTGATGGGAAATCAGACCATTAACAGGTAAATTACAGTCTTGGATGGCGTGTATTGTAAGAGGTGCCTGTCACGGTGCTGTAGACACTCAGAAAATGAAGAACTTTCTGTGTAGGGAAGCTAAGGAGGACATTCCTTGGAGATGACAATGAAGGTGGGTCTTGGAGGAAGAAAAGGACTCTTCCTGATAGGAAAGGTTAGTAAGTGCGTCCAGACGCAGCATGATGGGATATAGTATATCTGGGGACCAGGGAGAAGTGCAGGGTGGATTAGAGTGGGAGAGCAGAGAGGAGAGTTGAAGTTGAAACTAGAAAGGTACATTGGAGCAAGATAATGAAGAATCTGTTGTATAAAGTTTGAGTTTTATAATATGGAGAGTGGGGAGTCCCTCTGTGGTTTATAAGGAGGAGAGTGATGTGATCACATTTGTTTGGGGGAAAGTAACTCTGGAAGCAGCGCAAGGGAGGGATGGGGGTGCAGAGACAGGGGCAGAAGACCAGGGGTAGGACTGTGAGCAACCCAGAGGGGGAGAACAAAAGCCTGAACTGGGGCGGTAGCAGTGAGCATGAAGAGTCTGACTTAAAAGAAATTTCTACGACAGAATTGACAACAATTGGTAAGAACTGTAAAAAGAGGCTATGAAGTCATCCTTAGGAAGGTAAGAGGAGAGCTGAGTGGAAGCGAAGGGAAAAAGGAAGTTTCCCCAAACCTGGGCCTGTCAGTGGTATCAGATGCTGCAGAAATATCATCCCGTAAAATGGTTGTGGAAATCCTAGAGAGATTAGTGTCAGTAGAGTACTAGGGACAAAAGCCAGGTTGTAAGAGGTGACAGAAGTAGAAATATAATGGCGGAGGGAAGGAGGCAGCTTGATTCTTCTTCCATGCTCTCATATTTAATTGGCAGTGGAGGACACCGGCCAGTCTTAGCTTACTGCAGTTTCTCTGAGCCTCCCAACCACTACCCTACCTCCCGGCACCACAGTGGTCCCAGCCTTGCAGGCCTCGCATCCAGAGTCTGGAGTAAAAACTTGTCATTGGCTTTTTAGGTAGTGGGTGTCCCATACGTGCCTACCCACGTCCACTCTTTTCCAGCCACCTTGCCACCGAGTTCTCTTTCCCTCTAGGTCGATGATTTGTTAGTTCTCTCGTTATCTGAACTTTGGAATGTCTTAGTTTTTGTGAATATGTATGTGTAGGGGCGACTGGGTGGCTCAGTCAGTCAAGCTTCCTACTCTTGACTTCGGCTCAGGTCATGATCTCAGGGTCCTGGGAATCAAGCCCCGGTCAGGCTCTGCACTCAGCGGGAAGTCTGCTTCTCCCTCTCCCTCTGCCCCACCGTCCTGCACATGCATGCATGCATTCTCTCTCTCTCTCTAAAATAATAAATCTTCTTTAAAAAAAAGAATATGTATGTGTAGCTAAGAGAATATGCTTCCTTCTTATACTCTGTTTCGGCGTCTGAGCATCTGTGTGTCCTCTGTGCATTCCTTTGAATATGTGCTATTTGTTTTATTTAACTTCCACAGCACTTGCTGTGTGCCAGACACTATTCTCAATGTTTTACTTAATTCACATAATTCTTTAACATCATTTTACAGAAGAGAAAACAGCCATAGACAGTTTAAGTAACTTGCTCAAGGTCAGACAACTAGTGAGCAGTAGGATTTGAATTCAAACCCAGGCAGTAAGTCTAGTCTAGTTCCAGAGTTTCTGCTTTTAACCATTATGCTGGGCTGCCTCTTGGGCACACATGTCTCTTCTCGAGTGCGTGTGAGCCCCTTCATATGAGGGAAGGGGGAAGTATGTGTAACTGCACGTTTTCCCTTCTGTTTTATGGATCTTCTTTGTGTCTCTATTTCCTTAACTGGGGATATGGTGTCCATATGTCTTCATGGTAGGAAGTATTTTCTGGACACAAAATCTGAGTCTTCTGTGTGTATGTGAATGACTTCCTTGATCTGACCACACATCTGCTTATGACAAGGTCCCTTCCCCTTCTCATTTTGCATTCTTATTCTCAGCTGCCTTTCCGCCTACCCATTGCTATCCCTCCTTCCCCTTTTCTTTCTCTCTCCCGTATACCCACTGGACCACATCAGACCTAGTTGTCTATATTTCCCTCAGAAATTTTAGGACTTTGTTTTCTTTCCCTGTGGAACATGTAAGCCTTGGCTTCCCTTACTTCCTCCTTTTAAATTTATACCCTTTATATTCTGCCACAAATAATTTTAGCATACCAGAGGTGATGTTCAAAGGTCACTGTTTCCTGGCTCCCAAACCCTGGGCCAAGTCTTAGGAAGTCCCATGTCCTTATTTTTGCCTTTTCTTCTATGACCTTGGGCAGAGTCCTTGGCAGTTTTCCTTTGCCTCCCATTCTTTGTAAAATACAACAGGATAACTGGCTTACAAAAGAAGTGCCATCGTTTATTAGGGAGAAGGGTGAATTGAACTGGAAGAAGCAGAGGGCGGGAAGGATGGGGTTGCAAGGGGGAGCCTGAAAGTTATTTCCTAAGATGCCTAGAAAATCTCCCTTTTATTTTTTTTTAAGATTTCATTTATTTATTTGATAGACAGCGAGAGAGGGAACACAAGCAGGGGGAGTGGGAGAGGGAGAAGCAGTCTTCCTGCCCAACAGGGAGCCCGATGCGCTTAACGACTGAGCCACCCAGGCTCCCTGAAAATCTCCCTTTTAAAAAAGGGTGCTCCTTGAGACAAAACCTTGAACTTGCTATCTCGCCACCTGGTGGGCAAAAATCTGAAACTGTTGAAAGCTAACTTGGTAGAGGAGCACCGAGAATAACCTGCACTATTGGAGAAGACCTGATTTCCTTATTTCACATATTGTAACCATATTTCTGATTCTGGTCAAGTATTTTGTTTTGGCTTTTGAGCATGAGATGAGCCACAGTTATTGAGAGAGAAAGAGAAGAGTCTAATTACTGGAAAGAATATGCTACGGTATTAGACAACCAAACTAACGAAGCTGTGTCCTCTTTTTCTCCTGGATAAACTCAGCATAAATATTATAACTGGTAGAGGAATTTGAAGAGCTATTTTGTAATTGACATCAGACACAAGAGTTCTTTTCAAATACTCACCTAGAATTTAACCTTGGGCCAGAATACTAAAAGTGCTTCATTTGAATAACATTTATGCTGTAGGGTTTACGTCACTTTAAAATTTTTCTCTGTCACACGCCAGTTTCTTTCTAGTGTCCCAAAGTACTGTGGCAAAACTAAATTGAGAAACACTTTTTTTGCTGTCTGTTAACATTGACGTTTTTCCCAAGTGATATGAGCTGTGTCTTATTTTTTCATTCCCTCTTTTTTTTTCTCTTTAATTCCTGTACTCACCTTGTCAAGAGGGGTCTCAGGTAGGGATCACAAACTCCGATGTCTCCGGGGATGGGGAAGGTAAATACAGGAGTGAGGTGGACTGTGGGTAACTGTGGGCCAGCGACCACACCCGTCTAAAGGGGCAGTTGACACACAGCTTCAGCAGATTATGGCCATATGGAAACGTGAGCCCATTGCTGCCAAATCTCTTTTTTCTTTTTTTGAGAGAAACTCAAAATCTGGATGTTTTAAATGTGATTTTTTCCCCCATCTTTTTAAAATGCTGGCTCGCACGTTAAAATAAAATCCTGTATGATCCAAGCAAAACACCTCTTGAGTTGGACTGGAGACTCAAGCCCCCGGTTTTTGACTTAAACTTTACACAGGCTGTCTCTTGGTTAAGTGCCTAGAATTGATGCATTTTAGTAGCTTAAGTTATTTAATAAGACCACGAACTAAAGAAAATAATAAATTAAAATCTTTCAGACTCACTGGTCAAAAGGACCTGACAAATTCTCTTAAGTCATTTGAAGTTAGTTTGAGTTAGCATTTGATTTAGTATTAGTATGTATACCAAAAGAAGCTATTACTCTTGCTTTTTGGCAGCTGTCTGACTCCCTGCCTCGGTTGACACTGCTCCTTGAAATTTATTTAGAAGTTAGCCATCTTTCTTCCTCATTTTGATGCTGCAGTTTACTCTTCTTGAAAAAGAGATTTTGAAGGGTAGGAAAAGGAGACTCCCTTTGCAATGTAATTTTTGAGTCTCTGACTTTCTCATAGCCACATTAAAGTTTAGGGTTTGTAATAGGAAAATTTAAAGTGTAATATTCCACTTAAGAAACTAAACCAGCAGGTAGGATTTTTCTGTATAAGACTAGAAATCTATAGTTGTAATTAAGGATAAATCATTATAGGATATTGTCATAACCCTCTTGCAAGCATTAAGGAATTGTGCACCGATATATTCCTGGCTGAAATGTTATGGCAGTTTTCAGTAGTCAGAGCTTAAAATGTGGGTTCATACCTTATAGAAGACATGAAAGAAGACATACTTGAAGTTCCTCGCTGTGATGCTCCATGGGTATTTATAGAGGAATTTATCAGGTCTAACTATATGGTAGGGAAAAAATTAAAGCTATGGGCTTAGGGCACCTGGGTGGCTCAGTCGTTAAGCGTCTACCTTCAGCTCAGGTCATGATCACCGGGTCCTGGAATCAAGCCCCACATCGGGCTCCCTGCTCAGCAGGATGCCTGCTTCTCCCTCTCCCACTTCCCGTGCTTGTGTTCCTGCTCTCGCTGTCTCTCTCTCTCTCTCTCTCTCTCTCTCTCTCTCTCTCTGTCAAATAATAAAATATTCAAAAAATAAAAAGAAATTAAAACTATGGGCTTGGAGATCAAATG